TATATATATATATATATATATATATATAGATAGATAGATAGATATAGAGAGAGAGGCTTATTTGGCCAAGACCTCGAAGTCCTGTAGTGCATAATCCCATGAGAGGATTATATAGCCGAAAGATGGCAACTCAGGCCATGGAACTGCATGAGGTCATCGAGAGAAAATAGGGTTGTATAAAAGAGCAGAGAGCAAAGTTAGAGAGGCAGATGAGGCATAGTCAGGGTAGTAAGAAAAGTAGACAGAGCTGACAATAGGGGTGACCTTGACCAGCTCAGAAGAGTAGTGGGGCCAGTTTACAGTGGGCAGGTGAGAAAGAACAGAATTATTAGACAGTTTAAACAAGGAGGTATTTGAGCACAGATTTGTGTACTCAATAGAATAATCTGTTGAAGACTCAGAAATTAATGATGCAGGAAAGAAAGCTCTGAAAATGAGAGGATGGGGTTAGTGAACACATAGAAGGAGAGTTCTTTGGCAAGAGCAGGGATTTTTTTCATTCATTGAAACGAGAGGGGAAATGGAATTTGACCCAGATGAAGGTGAGTTAAGAAGAGTGATTCTTCTGACTGGTTGCTTCGGAAGTGGGAAGTAAGAGCATCAGCCCCAGGGGAGAAGCTAGAGCCAGGGCACAGGGAACTTCAGAAGACAGGAGAAAATGTAAAATGGCAACATTGGAGATAGAGAATGCAAACAGTCAGAGTGGTACTGTAGGCTTTCTGGGCAGTGTTAGTGCCTATTCATAGCTATAATAAAACCACCACCGCTTACCTATTTATAGGTTTCTAACCAAGGCCATGCAGCTGTTTGGCTACAGGCACTGAGTAGGTAAGAGCTGATCTGGGACTTTGCCAGGTGAGTTTGAGGAGTGTTGGAAGAGTGAGGGCATTGAGGGTGTTAGCTGTGGGAGTTGAAGGTGTTCGTGTAGGAGCATTGAAAGAGCTCCAAAGTGTTAGCATGGTCTGACCTGAGGACCCTGAATAAGAGATGAAAGGTAAAGGGAGATGAAAGGAATGAAGCATGGCTATTAGTGAGGTTGTGGAGGCCCACACTGGAGGATTCAGATAAGATTAATTGCTAGCAGGGGTGAGTGCTGAAGTCATTGTGCTGGGAGCCTGGGAGGTGTGACCAGCGGGGGATACACAGTCAAGGCTTCAGACCTGACATGGTTACAACTCAAAGTCAAGGGTTGACCATCAGTGACCCAGGTGGATTAATAAGGAGCTTCACTCGTAAGATTCACCTCAGCTTGGAGCTGGGGTAGACATCTCTCTCTAGTGACCAGAATTGTCACTGTCACCTGAGCTCAGAGTCACTGCAATCAGGAAATTCCTAGTTAGTGGGATAATAGTCATTGTTAGGTAGACTCTGAGCTCAGAGTCACTACAATCAGGAAATTCCTAGTTAGTGGGATAATAGCCATCCAGAAGTTCCAATCATGGGAATTAACAAGTAGAGTTTAGGAACAGGTTTCTCAGAGGTGTTCACTGCCTGACCACAACAGGGACCACCAGAACAAGTGACCTAGTGCAGGGAAGAGTGGGCTTGCATGGCAGGACTCGTTGGCCATCCTTTTCACCACCATCACCCTATCCCTGCCACCCATACCTGCCTCATGCTCACAATTATTTTTTCTTTCTTCTTGCTGTGGCTGTTGGCTTCCCTTACCTGGGTACTTGACATTGACCAAATGAGAAATGAAGTTGCTATAATGAGTGTTTTCAGCATAATTCTTGACCTGTAGGAGAAACATAGAGCAATTAACACAGTGGAGAAGAGACCTCTAGCATCATCTTTGTTAATCCAGATGCTTAATTTTCTTTTTCTTTCTTTCTTTCTTTTTTTTTTTTTTTTTAACTTTTTGAGAGGTTTTTGCTATAGGGCATGCGCACTCGCCAGAAAAACAGAGACAGAGAGACAGAAAGCGAGAAATCACCTCCCAGAGGGGATGGCCACGCTGCAATCCCTTCTCCTCCATTCTCCTCTTGGGATCTTGGGCATGAACACACACGCGCCCAGCTTGAGTTTAAGCCACCGGGTCTGGGCCTCGAACCACAGTCAACCACATGAGAGTCCAGTGACATAGCCATTATGCCAACTGCTGGTCCCCAGATGTTTAATTTTCTAGAAGATTGGACAGCATCAACAAAACAAGGAAGGGGCCAGCAGATAGCATGGAGGTTAAGATGCTGGATCCCACATGGCTGACTGCACAGTTCAAGTCCTGGATCTGGCAGCTTGAAAATCATGCTGGGAACATTTGCATGCATGCCCAAAATCCCAAGAGAAGAATGGAGAAGGAACTGTGGTACACCCATCTCCCCTGGATAGTGATTTCTCACTTTCCTTCTCTCTCTCTCTCTCTAGCAAGTGCACATGTCCTTTAGGAAAAAGTTGAAAGAGAGAGAGCTCATTCCCCATTTGTGTTCATGGGGAAATCTGACCTGGCTGTTCTTAGCTACCAGCTGCCTTGGCCTATCATTCTCTTCCAAGAAGACACCATCTGAAACATTCTGGCAGCTTTTAAGGAAAAGAGCTTCTCAATGACTGGTGATGTTCTCAAAAATGGACAAAAGTCACTGCTAAAAAGCCCCCCAGATTCTTTAGGATAAGGGGGCTTGATCTCCCTTCTTCATCCTTGGGACTTTTGACAGATACCCAAATGTCTAAGGCAAAACTTCTCCAATTCCTCCACTGTCAAATTCTTTTTGTAGAAGTGTTGAGTTTTAAAATTCAGGATGTTTTTGTGAAAAAGGTCTTTTTTCACTGGACCTTTTCGGTCGTGGTGTGGATGCAAGTTCTCTTCCACTGTGCATAAATTCAGGCATTCTTAGATTTATGACTGCCATTGACTATTCATTATCTATTGGGTTGTCAGAAAAGTCATGCTGCATTTTTTTAAAGAATTTATTTATTTATTTACTTACTTACTTACTTACTTATTTTTAATTTGACCAGAGAGGGACACACAGAGAGAGAGAAAGTGAGAAAGCAAGTCACCAGGTCTGGGACTCTAACCGTGGTTGGCCATGTGGGAGTCCAGTGCCCTTATCCACCATGCCACCTGCAAGCCCCCATGATGCATTTTTGCATAGAAAAACATGTCATGACTTTTCTGAGCACACAATAGATGTCTGGTTTATTATTATTATTCTACTACACCTTTAGTACACTCTTTTGTGTTACATTTTTTAAAAATTTACCATAGGACATGTGTGCTCCCTAGAGAGAGATGGAGGAGGTGGAGGAGTAGGATGTCCACACTATAATCCCTTCTCTCCACTCTTCTCTCCTTTCCTTGAGCACACATGTACAAGTCCCTGGCGTATTTTTTGTTTTGTTTTGGTGCCTGGCATGTATTTTAAGCTCTTAGGTCCAGGACTTGAACCACACAGTTGGCCATGTAGAATCCAACCACCTTAACCATCATGCCACCTGGCCGGCCTTCTATTAAATATTTTAGTTTGCATTTAACCATTTTAGTTATTTCTTGGTGGTTGCTCTGGTGACTACAATAGACAATTTAATCACAATCAGTCAAATCAAAAGAAACTGTAGCATGACCATCCCCTAGGAGGGGCGTTTTCTCACTTTCTCTCTCTTCCACTCCCCATTTCCCTCCATTGAGAACACATGCCCTCAAGCAAGTTTAAAATGTGTGTGTGTGTGTGTGTGTGGTATGGAATAAAAAAGAAAAATATGTGTTCATAATTTTTTGTATTGGATCATCATAAAAGTCATGACATATTTTTCTATATAAAAATACATCAAAATTTTTCTGATGACCCAATATTTCCAATATTTATCCACATACACAGTATTTCCGGCACTCTCCATTTCTTTCTGTGGATTTAAGTTATCGTCTGCTGTCATTTCCTTTCAGTCAAAAAGATTTCCTTTAATATTTCTTTAAAATAAGGTTGGCTAGCAATTATTTTGGTTCTGCTTTCTGTAGAAATGTATTTATTTTACTTTCATATTTGAAGGGTGATTTAGTTGGGTATAAAATTTTGGGCTGACGCCATCTGAAAACTTGAGTACTCAGCCATTAATTGTACTGTGATTCCCTTACAGATAGCAAATTAGTTTTCTCTTCTTGCTTTTAGTAGTTTGATTTGACATGTCTAGGTGTTTTCCAGACTTGGAGTTTGTTGGGGGTTTTTAATACTGGTAAATTAATGTTTTTTCTTTTTCTTTTTTTTTTTTTTTTTGAGAAATTTTTGCTATAGGGCGTGTGTGCTCGCCAGAAAGACAAAGCGAGAAATCCCCCCCAAGGGGGGATGGCCACGCCGTGACCCCTTCTCTTCCATTCTCCTCTCATGATCTTGGACAGGCACACACACATGCCTGGTGTGAGTTTAAGCCACTGGGTCCGGGACTTGAACTGTGGTCAACTACATGAGAGTCCAGCAACATAGCCATTATGCCCACCTGCCGGTCCCTTTCTATGTATTTCTATACAAAAATGTGTCATAATTTTCCTGACAACCCAATATCTGGTGCATTTAACAAATTTTTGTTTCTCTGTTAAGATCCTTTTTTGAGTCATTGTCATCATGCTTTCCTTTCATTCTTTGAACATATGATAGTTTCTTTAGAGTCCTATCTATCTATTCACACAGTCCTATCTATCTAGGCCCACATTGGTCCTATTTCTTTGCATGCCCAACTTTTTTGTTGAAAACTGGACATTTTAGATAATATATGGCAGAAATTTTAGACTCTAATTTTTTTGTTGTTGTCCTATGAGTTTTTATGTTTGTATTCGTTTAGTAATTTGTCTGGATTTAAACTACAGGACATCTTCGCAGGAGTATGAAGTAGCTGATGTCTCTGCTCACTTTTTAAATCTTATTCTTCTTATTATTATTTTTTAGAGAGAGATTTTTGCTATAGGGCACATGTACTCACCAGACAGACAGAGACAAACAGACAGGCAGAAACCAGGAAATCACTGCCTGGAGAGAATGGCCACACCACAATCCCTTTTCCTCCATTCTCCTGTAGGAATCTTGGGCGCACACACACACACACACACCCAGCATGAGTTTTAAGCTGCACCGTGTCTGGGACTCAAGCTGCAGTAGACTACATGGGAGTCCAGCAACGTAATTATGTCATCCACTGGTCCCAAAATCTTATTATTTTTTTAACCTTAATTTTTATAGGTTACCTAGGATCAGCATAGCTTTATTTATTTATTCAGGCAGATGTTGTGCTCAAACTCCTGAAGACTGTGAGACTTACACCTCTACAGATGGATCTGTGAGTGGATTGAGAGGCGCATTCAAAGTTCAACCAGTTTTCATGTTGGCTACAGCTTCGACTTTCAGGTAGGCCCTCTCAAGGCGCTCCCATAGACCTCTGTGTCTCTATCATTGTCAGAATCTCTCTTATTAAGTTGCTGATTGGTCTGCCACTCACCACTCCCTCTATTGTGACTTCAACCTCAAACTGCTGTTTGTTTTCTGTCAGCATTTCTGTTGACAGTGTTCTTGGCCATGGATTTTCAGCTTCTACCCTAAATCAAGTCAGGTCCCCTGCCCAGGTAGTGAAACTTTTGCATTTTCTGACTACCTCTGCCCTAAGAAAAATACTACCTGGCTGACCAAGGCAAGAAATCCATAGATGTTCATTATTCTTCCTCGAAATTCCAGATTCTTTTTTTAAATAAATAAATGCCTCAATTTGTTGTTTGCATTTAGTACATTTCCAGAATACTGAAATAGTTGTTTTTCACAAATGTATCCAATGTAATATTTGTTTTATGAAGACTGGATTCCTAAATACATCCAGCCACTAGACTTAAGTCCCACACTCTAGACTTTCTTAGAAATGCCAAGGCATTGCCTTTGGCTGGGTTGCAGGTTTCCCTTTGCCCTGCAGGACAGTTTGTGTCCAGTCAATCCTTCTGTGATTCCAGCTCTTTTAATCAGGTTCTCCAAGTTATCCAAGGTCCCTGATGTTGATAACACAGAAGGAGTTCAGTTACTATGAGTAGGGGATGAAAAAAGGTAGATCTTCCATTGAGTCAGCATTTCTAGGAATTGTGAACTCGAGAAAGGATGAAGAGGGATAATAAAGACGATCCTTCACTTAGACTTAACTGCTTGTTTAGGCTTCAACCTGTAACCTCAAATGCACCCACACATGTGTAGTTTCTGCATACCTCAACAAGGGCCGCCAGTACAGCCAAACCATCTGGTGCATCCTTGGCTATGTCGTAGCTCTTATACTTCGAATTGTAGTGAACAACATGAATCTGTGGGAACAAGATAAGAAAAGTCGAGGGCAGTTCAGACACACTCCAAATGCTGAAGGTTCCAGGGAAGGAGGAAAGAAAGAACTGAGGCCTCAGACTGTCCCACACAAATGATGATAACATCCCTCCCCTCATCTGGGTTATGCATTGCATCATTTTAAGACCAGAAAGTTCTCCAGAAATGGACAGAACAGGAGTAAGTTTCTGGAAAGACGGCTACTCAAAGGCATTTCCTTGACCTCGCCTCCCTCCAGGCAGACAAGCCGACAGAGCCTAGAGGGATCATATAGACGCTGGGTTCTCCTGGGGTCTCTGGGGAGATGGAGAAAAGAGTGGGCATGAGCCCCTTTGTCCAGGAAGCATCTATAAACCTGCAGTCATCCTGTGGATGGATCAGCACAAAAGAGGGGACCCCAGAAAATGTACCACAAAAATCCAGCTGAGGGCCAGCCCTGTAGAGCAGCAGCTAAGGAAGTCATATCCCACCTGACTGACCGTCATTTGCATCTTGGACGTGGCAGCTGGAAAAACATGCTGGGCACATTTGTGCACATTCTCAAAATCCAGGTGGGAAGGGAAAATGAAAGGAAAAAGATTTCGGTATGACCATGTCCCATTGGGGCTTCTCTCTCTCTCTCTTGCACATGCGCTCTGGTGATTAAAAAATAGGAGGGGGGGTCCCGGGGCCAGCCCCATGGCTTGGTGGTAAAGCAGTTATGTATCTCTTGGCCAATTATGTGGCTTGAAACCTGGACCCGGAGAAAACATGCTGGGGTGTGTGCGTGAATGCCCAAAATATCGAAAGGATGGAAAAATGGAGGATAGGGATTATGATGTGACCACACCCCATTGCAGGGTGCTTTCTCCCTCTCTCTTTCTCTCTCTCTCTCCAGCAAGTGCATGTACCCTCTGGCAATTTTTAAAAAATAGTGAAAAATAGAATAAAAAAAGTTAACTACAGAGCACTTTATAAAAAATGAAACAAATACAAAAAAAAAAAATCTAGTTGAAATAATGGAGGGCTTGCCACACCCTATAAACCCTCGCCACTATGTGAATTCTATGAGGACGAGACCCTGTCTGTACTCATGGCAGAAACTGGTCATCAGTTAATAGCTGCTGAGTGGAACCAGCAGGTGGTGTAATAGTAACATCATGGACTCCCACATAGGCGACCACGGTTTGAGTCCTGGACCCATCAGCTTAAAACTCACACCAGGTGGGGAATCAGCAGTTAGCGTAATGGCTATGTTGCTGGACTCCCACGTAGTCGACAGCGGTTCGTGTCCTGGACCTGGTGGCTTAAAACTAATGCCGGACACGTGTGCGTGCGTGCCCAAGATCCCGAGAGGAGAATGGAGGAGAAGAGACTGCGGCGTGACATCCCCCCTGGGGGGTGATTTCTCACTTTCTGTCTCTATGTCTCTCAGCGCACGCTCCCTATAGTGAAAATCTCTCCAAAAAAAAAAAAAAACTCACACCAGGTGCATGTGCGTGTGTGCCCCAAGTTCCAAGACGAGAATGGAGATCATCCTCCCTGGGAGGTGATTTTTTTTGCTTTCTGTCTCTCTGTCTCTCCAGCAAACACATACACCCTATAGCAAAAAAAAAAAAAAAGTTGCTGAGTGAGTGAAAAATAAACTCAATCTCAAGTTGACTCAACTGTCACCATTGTACAAAGTCCTTTTGGCTGTTCCAATATGCAAAGCAACTACCGGGATCAAAGGAAAGCAGAACCAGCTGGAAACCCCATGTACCTCTATGACGAATCTGAACCCGTCAATGGTGTGCTCTGAGCCACTGATCTCTGAGGATGCACCGCCCCAGTGAAAGTGCATCTGCAGGGCTGTGTACTGGGTGCCGTCAGGGGCCGTCATGCGCATGGTGGGAGGGAGGCTGATTTGCACTGAAAGAGACAGGGCAAGGCAGGGAGAAGGGTGAGTAGAAATGGATGGGTCAGGCGTACAGGTTAAAGAGCTTCCCTGGTCACCTCCCACCACCGACCCAGAACCTGGTTAGGCTGGCAAGGAATGCTGGGAGTAGGGCCATGGGAGGGGAGGAGGCACCGGCACACAGGGCACAGGGTGAGATCAGGATGGAAACTGAGCACTGATGAAGCTGAGTTGGGAAGCAAGCAAACAGGATTCCTCTTTCCCAAATCTTTCCCTTCCAGGGGAAAACATGGCTAATGAGACTGGAAACCAGAATTCTACTCTCTACCTCGAACCGACTTTAATATTTGCCCAGGGTGTAAAATAAAAAGTGGAGCCTTGGGCCAGCAGGTGACCTGGAGGTTAAGGCATGACCGACTGCATGGTTCAAGTCCCAGACCCAGTGGCTTGAATATCATGCCAGGAGCGTGTGCAAGCAGGCCCCCAATTCTGCGAGGAGAATGGAGAGGGATTGTGGCATGGTTATCCCCCCTAGGAGTGATGAGAAGCCTGTCGTCTGGTGACTTCCATAGCCCTGAGTGGTAGGCATTTAACTGGCCTGACCTAAGTTGGAATGAGAGAGTGAGGCAATAAAAAAGACGTGGCCAGGGCCAGCAGGTGGCATGGTGTTCAGGTGCTGGACTCCCACATGGCTGACTGTGGTTTGAGTCCTGAATCTGGTGTTTTGGGACTCATGCTGGGCACATATACATGCCCAGAATCCCAGGAAAGTGACAAAAAAGGGATTGTGACAATTCCACTGGGGGTTTCTCACTTTTCCTCTCAGTCTCTCTCTGTCTCTCTGGCAAATGTATGCACCCTATGGCAAAAACCTTAAAAATAAATAAATAAAATAAACATGGTCAGGGAATCAGAAACTGAGAATCTGGGTACAGCTCAGCCATCAGAGACTACGTGGCCTTCAGCCTCTAAGGCCTCAAGTTTCCCACCTACAAAACGCTCCCCACCTGGGATTTTCATGAGGCTCAGAGGAGAAAGATAGTGGTATTAGCACAACTGGACACCCATGTGCAAAACAATAAATCTAGACACAGACCTTACGCCCTTCCCAAAAACCAACTCACAACGGTTCATAGACACATTTGTAAAATGCAAAACTATTGGACTTCTAGGAGAGAACGTGGATGGTGTTGGGTGTGCAAAGATCTTTTAAATGTACCACCAAAGACATGAGTTATGAAAGAAATGACTGAGAAGCTGAACTTCTAAAAACTTCCAAGTGAGATGAACCCATTTGGAAGATCAGGAGGATGTTCTGCAAAACTAAAGCATGGACTTTGCAGCTGCCCAGAGCTTGAAGTTGGGAGGGCAGTCCACGAGATTCAGCGTTTCCTGTCTGACCTTCCCCCTTCCTAAAAGGGAACAGAAAACAAGAGCTTTCTTTTCTTTTCTTTTCTTTCTTTCTTTCTTTTTTTTTTTTTTTTTTTTTGAGAGGTTTTTGCTATAGGGTGCATGCACTCGCCAGAAAGACAGAGACAGACAGAGAGACAGAAAGCAAGAAACCACCCCCCAGGGGGGATGGCCATGTCACAATCCCTCCTCCTCCATTCTCCTCTCGGGATCTTGGGCACACACGCACACGTGCCTGGCTTGAGTTTAAGCTACCGGGTCCAGGACTCGAACCACGGTCGACTACTTGGGAGTCCAGCAACATAGCCATTATGCTAACTGCTGGTCCCAAGAGCTTTCATTTTAAATCTCTGAAAAATACTGGGCCTGCCCGTCAGGTACATTGAATTAATAAGACTCAACATGAAAAATATGGAAAATCAGGACCAGACAGTGACAGAGCAGTAGCACAACTGGACCCAATGAGAAGGTCTAGAGTTCGTGGGGCCGGCAAGTGGCATGGTGGTTAAAGGCGCTGGACTCCCACATGGCCTACCACGGTTCAAGTCTCTGACCTGGTGGCTTGCTTTCTCACCTCCTCTTTCTCTCTCTGTCTCTCTCTGATCAAATTGGAAAATAACAATGATAAAGTTAAATAAAATAATTCTTTAAAAAAAAAAAGGTCTAGAGTTTGCATCCCAAGACCTCCCTCTACACGCCAGACACATGCATGCCCACACTTCAGTCTGGCTGAGACCTGGAGTGGCTCACAGCTTAAAGATCGTATGGAGGATGCCTGTCTCTCTCTGTATCTATCTCTTTGTCTCTTTCTCGTGGAAGAAATAAATAAAATAAACTTTAAAAAAATGAAACACTAGACCATGCACAGATGAACAAAAAACACAAGTGAGCATGGCTTCAGTACTGTGCCTGTCGCCTGCGGGTGAACTTCCTGCTGGCTGGCTCAGAGCGAGCTCAGGTGAGGATAGTGCAGGATGAAGGATCCAGCAGGGAACTGAGTCTAAAGAGAGTTGCTGCCCAACTCTGGAAGAGCCACCAGGTTGCAGACTTTGGTCCCTATCAGCCCTCATCCTGAGGCCTCCAGCTCTGAGGCTGAGTTCTGCATCTCCAGATCTCCATATGTGTCACTCCCAGCAAGTGTGTGTCACCTGCTTTCCCCTGCAGACTGCCCAGGACTGCCCATGCACGGGGGCTTCTTTTTCATCTTACCTGTGTGGCCGTTGTTGATCATGGGGAACTCGCCCACCTGGACATCATAGCCCGTCAGGTTCAGCCTCTTCAAGGAAGGGTTGTACTGCACCTTCTTCCTCTGCAGGTTGATGGGTGACTGCTTCTGCCCCCCACAGTCGGGATAGTGCTGTGGCCAGTGCTCTTCATCCAGTGACCCCTCTGAGACAGGAAGAAGCAGGTCACTGTTCAAGGGACTGTGTGGCTGGGCCCCCTCTTGGGGTACCTACCAGGCAGAGGCCAGGGCCTACTGAGCAAGAGGCCTGCAGGGGAGCCTTCCAGGAGGCAGAAGCAGGCAAAAGAGCATCTTAATCAACTCCAATGACCCGGGTATTTGGAGACTTTGGTGACAACTTTTCATTTTCCTCTTGTAACCAGTGGCCCTAGAAACGCTGCTTAGTGTTTTGAGAGCAATGAAAATCTCTTTTAGGGAACCAGCAGTTAGCGTAATGGCTATGTCGCTGGACTCCCATGTAGTCGACCGTGGTTCGTGTCCTGGACCCGGTGGCTTAAAACTCACGCCGGGCGCGTGTGCATGCGTGCCCAAGATCCCGAGAGGAGAATGGAGGAGAAGGGATTGTGGCGTGACCATCCCCCCTGGGGGGTGATTTCTCGCTTTCTGTCTCTATGTCTCTCTCTGTCTGGCTGGCGAGCGCACGCGCCCTACAGTGAAAATCTCTCCCCAAAAAAAATAATAATAATTTTTTAAAAATCTCTTTTATATATATTTCTTTTTTCCCCCTTTGAATTACTTTCAGCTGCTAAATGCACTAGAGGGATGATCCTTGGCTTGATACCCTGTGGTGCTTTTAGGAGGCTTCTCATTATTGGCACAGTTTTCCTCCCAAGTCCCCAACAGGAACACAAGCCCCTTCTGTTAAATACAAATTATAGGAGGCCATTGTTTGGGACTAAGCTGTTGCACCAGGCCATAGCAGCCCAAACCAAAATGGAGTCACTCATGGTAAAATGCCACATTACCAAACCGAAACTTTAAGAAAGCAGATGGAGGCCAGCAAGTGGCGTGGTAGTTGAGGTGCTGGAACCACATTTCAACTCCCGAACCTGGCGGCCTGCTTTCTCACTTTCCCTTGCTCTCTCTCTTTCTCTCCTTATCTCTCTCCAGTCAAATGAAAAAATAATAATGATAAATAAAATTTAATGAATATTAAAAAGAAAGAAAGTAGACTGAAATCAGATCAGTTTTTTTCCTGAAAAATTCCAGGCTACCTGAGTCAGTGCTATGAGGAAGTAAAACCGATGCACATCTCGGGACTCAGTCATCTGAACCATCGGTTCCCCTCTCTCCTTGGCAGCAGACATCTGAAATAAAGCATCTGAACCAGCTGGCGAGATGTCGTCAGATTTGGTGTTTTATGGACATCCATGCTGCCTAAGTTCAGGCTTCCTTTTCCTTCCAATAGTTGCGTTGCCCTGCATTCCTTTCTGACGTTCACAGAAGCCCCTCTTTAAGATTGTCATCAGCGGGATGAGCAAATGGCATAATGGTGCACTCCCACATAGTGGACTGCAGTTCAGATCCCGGACCTGGCAGCTTAAAACTCAGGCTGGGCACGTGTGTGTGTATGCACCCAAAATCCCAAGAGAAGAACAGAGGAAAAGGGATTGCGGCATGGCCATCCCCTCTGGAAAATGATTTCTTGCTTTCTCTCTCTCTCTGGTGAGTACTGGTGACCCCCAAAAAAAAAAAAACTCTAAAAAAAAAAAAAAAAAAGAAAAGAAAAGATTGAAATCAGCAGGTGACCTGGTGGTGAAGGGGCTGAACTCCCACATGGCGGACTACAGTTTGAGTCCCGGACCTGGAAGCTTGCTTTCTCACTTTCCCTCTCTCTCTTTCTGGTCAAAAAAAAAATAAAAAATCTTAAAAAAAAAAAAAGAAGAAGAAGAAGAAGAAGAAAAAGTGTTGGGGGGACAGATGATGTAGTGACTAAGGCACTGAACTCCCACCTGGCTGACCATGGTTCAAGCCCCAGAACTGGTGACTTGAAAATCACACCAGCACCTGTGAATGTATTCCCAGAATCCTGAGAGGAGAATGAACTGCGGCGATGCCAAGAGTGGTGATTTCTCATTTTCCCTCTCTTTGTCTCTCTGGCAAGCTCTTGGACTCTATGGCAAAAACCTTAAAAAAAAAAAGAAAAAGAAAAAAGAAAGAAAGAGAAAGAAAATTAAAATGTTTGTACTGGGGCCTTTCACAGCTCTTGGTCTGCAGCTGAAAGAAAAAGCAATTCTTTATGTTCTTGTTCTTCTTTTCACTATTTAACAATTCAATTAATATTCTAAAAGGTTTTTCCTAGAGGCTGTGTTGCCAGGATCAAGTCAAGAGGCCTCCAATACAGACCTGTCTAGGATCAAAAGGCTCTGGCCCCAGGCCCTGCCAATACTGGGGCATCTCAAGCATTCCTGGAAGGCATTTGCAAACTCTACCCCCAAGTTCTCCGGGGAACTGAGGGGCACCCTAGTGGCTTTCCAGGAGGCTCACAGTCCCAGAGACTGGGCCGAGCCTGGGTAGGACAAGACCTTCATTGTTGAGATTCTCACACAGAAAGCCCAGAGTTTTCCCAGGTGAAGGCAGGCGGGTGGAATTCCTTTGTGGGAGAGCAGAGTGGCTGATTGGAGCTTTTCTGAAGCTCCACTTTCTAAGCCTTTCCAGAAAGTCCTTAATTTGGGACCCTTAACCAACAGGACATTCCACCCACCCTGACATGTGCTTTGTGTGTGCCTGAGGCCGGACAGACCAGGCGGGGCCGGCTCTGCCTCTGCTCCTACCTCCTGCCTCAGTCAGCCGCCTCCAGCCGCCCTTGGGCCCCACTCTGTGGCCTGATACAGAGAAGAGAGGACCCAAGCAGAAGCTTTCCTCACTGCCACATAGGAGGGGTGTCTCCAAGTCCCCCAGACACCATTGTCCTAGCTTTGGCTCACCCATGCTAAATGCTAAGGGTTTTTGTTTGTTTGTTTTTGTTGTTTTGAGAGGTTTGTGTCTTAGGCTGTGTGTACTTTCTGGGGAGACAGAGCCAGACAATGAGATGGAAAGTGAGAAATCACCCCCCCGGGGGCGGGGATGGCCACACCTCAATCCCTTCTCCTCCATTTTCCTCCCAGGGTCTTGGGCATGCACACACAAGCACCCAGCGTGAGTTTCAAGCCACTGGGTCCACAACTCAAACCACAGTCAGCCATGCGGGGAGTCCAGCGACATAACCACTCAGCCATCTGCTAGCCTCAGTGCCGGGTGTTTTAATGTCACATTTTAAAAGTCTGTTTTTGGCAGCCTGGAGACTCTCTGGAGGTAGCTGGGTTCTTATCAAGTCACCTGTGTATCATGTCATTTCCGAGAAGGACTGGCACCCTGGGCACCCTTGGTGAGGCCACAGGAAGTCCTTTCCGAGAACATTCTTTTCCACTTACACAGACCAATACAGCAATGGTCTCACAATAGCAAGTGGACTCAGACCAGCCGACGCCGGGGTAGAAAGGGGCTGAAAGCAAAAAGTCACCTAGAAGAGAACTGGGAGCTTGTAAAGGGGCGGAGTTACTTCCTCTTCCTGAATCAAAGTTTACGTTGTTTGGCCTCCCCACGTGGAGACGTTAAAGGTAGCATCTGAACTGCTATGAGCAGATCCCAACAGGGGAACCACACAAAATCCCCTGTGGACTGTCTTGCCATCCCATGAAATGCCAGGTCTTGCCATTGTCCTCAAGAAAGGGGGTGCGCCTGAGACAAGGGATAAGAAGTGGGAGACAGAAACCAGGCCAACCCTGAGAACAAAACTTCACAGAAAAGGGGATTGAGATAAGAGACAGCGGGAGGAACGCAGGAACCAGGCCAACCCCAGTAACGAAAGTTCACAGGGAAGTAGAAATGATAAGGATCCTGTCCACCACGATGGTAGAAGCTTCATGGTCACGCACGGTCATGCTTGGTCACACATGCCCACTAGCGCCACTGGTGACTCATAGTAAACCTTTGCTTCACTGGCATGCAGGAAGCACACCCCGGGAGGAGATCTTGGATGCCAATAACACTCTGTGTTCAGTCAAGCCTGTTTGGCTACAAAGTGCGCACACAGATGGGCACCTCACAGGGATCCTCAAGACCACCCCAACCCTAAAAACCCAGCCCCTTTATGAAAATGCACACAGATCTCCCACAAAGGGAGATCCTCGAAGGCCCTGGTGTTGTCTCCTCCTCCAAGCAGTCCTCTCTGCCTGAAGAGTGCATTCTCATCTTTCCTCAATAAACTTTCTTTTCTTTGCTATCCAACTTGTGCTGGAATTCTCCCTCGCCATGAAGTCGAGAACGTAAGAACCCTCACCCCAAGGACACTTGCCCCCTTGTTGGGAGAAGAACCGGGGAAACATGCAGCAGGCAAAGGCTTACTTGAATAGGTCCACTCGGATCCGTGCTGGGCCTGGACACCCACGAGGAACAGGGACACTAGAGTCACCAGAGACCTCATGGTGCTGCAGGTCTGGAGTCAGGTCTGATCCCAAGGAAGCTCTTCTTTTAAAAGCTCAGAAACTGTAAAAGACAATTTACCAAGTCCAGCTGGCTGATCCACCCATGGCTGCACCCACTAAAACAATAACATCCTCCCCACAATGGCCCTTCTCACTGGGTTTGTTGGGCCATGCGCTTGCCCGATCTCTTCCCAAGTCTTTATCATGTGCAATAGTCCATGGGCTGGGCTGCTGACTGTCTTAACTCAGGGGACCTCAGGCAAAGGCCACACAGTGCAGCCATTGTGGATGAGTGGCCCCAGAAGGAAAAGGCCTAGGCTCCCTGAACAATGGCACTTCCTGTGCCCTTTCTCCTGGCATTGGCATTTTGGGAATTGCTCAGGGGAATCATGCCTAAAAACCCTGCCGGATTCTACTTGGTATTTCCTGCCCGTCTCAGTAATGGACACAAGCCACTACTACAGGCGTGTGGCTGCCACCAGCCAGACACCTTGAAAAATGACCTGGCCCCCATAACTGGGCTTGAAATGGAGGCTTCGAACTGGAGGCAGTGATGTGCTAATCCTTGCCTTAAACCAGTGGTGAACCACGGAGCCCCAGCTCCTGAACCGCATCCCGGTGCGTGCCTGTGGGCCATCCAAGCCAGCGTGGGCCATGTTTCCCTGCTTTGTTCTGACAGCTGCAGTGCACTTGGGCACACTCAGGCCAATCCAGAACAATGGATTGCCTAATCCTTGTGTATCCACGTAGTTGAACAGTCCTGGAAATTAGCTGGAGGAGAAACTTTTAGATTTGTCAACTGACAGGCCAGCATTTTCCGTGTCCTTCAGCAAGGGCAAAGGACAGGCAGAGTTACTGCAGGATGCTCACCACGCCGGCCAGATTCAATGGCCAACAGAGCAAAGCCCTCCCCAAGTCTCATTTTTCTCATTGTTCACTTATTCCTGGAGTCCAAGGATACGAGAGTGCAAAATGGCAGCAAGCCTTCACCACAAGGTTTTTGTTTTGTTTTGTTTTGTTTTATATTTAGATTTTTGCCAAAGGGCATGTGCACTCAACAGGGAGAGAGAGAGAGAGAAAGAAAGTGAGCAATCACCCCCCGGGGGGACGACCACACCACAGTCCCTTCTCCTCCATTCTCCTCTAGGGATTTTGGTCATGCACACATACGTGCCTGGCATGATTTTCAAGCCGCTGGGTCTGAGACTCAATTCATTGTCGGCCATGTGGGATCCAGTACTTTAACCACCATGCCACCTGCTGCCCCCCACCACAAAGTTACTAGAGGTGATCTCCCTAACATTTAAAAGGGCTGCCCTTTGTCATTAAATTAGGGGACATAAGTTGCTGAAAACTTAGATCCGTGAAGCTCATTTGAAAGAATCTCAAAGGAAGCGAAGCATGGTCAAGGGCAGGGAATCTGAAGCCAGATCAACAGGGTTCAGATTTCAGCTCTGCCACTGACTTCGAATAAGCTACTCAGCCACGCTGTGCCTCAGTTTCCCTGTTTTTAAGTGGGGTTAGTGATAGTGCCTCCGCTCTGGGGATTTGGCAATTAGTCTGTGTGTAGTACTCAGAGCAACGCCTAGATTGTGGCATTATCATCTATTCAGACTCCTAGCATTGTCACCCAGCTAGTGAGGGAACCAAGGTGAAAATGGCTGTTGGTCTCCAACTCACGGAACTCTTCTCCATATTTGCAGAAATTAGAAACCCACTCTCTAGTCATGGCTAACTCAGTCTTGCCCTGCCTGGTGAGTCCCTCTTCAGAAAAGGCCATCTTGTAGCTCACATGAGATCTCACCTCTGTTGAGAGCAAGGATGGCGTTGTCCCTTAGACAAACCAGGGACCTTTGACATCAAACTAGAAGGAACACTGAGCCATCTGAATTTGTCTTTGGAATCTGAACTGGGAAACAGAAAGAACCAGGCACCAAAACATGTTCACCTGGTAGGTCCGAGGCTTTGCCTTTAGCTTCTGCGGATCTTTGACTCAGGCAGGAACTGGGCTAGCCAGTCATTTGTGTGACTGGCCAATGCTGAGAATTGTGCAAAAGTGACCAACAGTGTATTAGGGGCCAGGTAGGCTCTTGGACTATTTGCTAACCAGGGTGCATTATCAGAGAGGGTCCCCTCCGTCTTCTGTGCAGCATACTCCCGAAGACATCGGTGACACAGAACCAGATACGGTTAATTTCATTGCCTATTTTCTGAGCTGTTGTCTTATTTGATCTTAAAATGTTTCATCACATTGAACGTGAGTCTTATTCTTACATTTCTGAGCCACGTTGTTTGTTTTGATTTGGCTTGGCTTGTGCGTGTGTGAGTGTGTGTGTGTCACTTTATATTCTGGACATCCTGTGCTTTCATCAGACCACATCCCCAGCTCATCAAGACTGTTTTCAATTCTAAATTCCTCTCTTCCTAGGGCCTACGGTTTGAGTGGCTATCTGAGATGGGTTGACAAGGATGACATTTTATCACAACGTCAAGTCAAAGGGGAAGAAGGAGCTTTTGTTCTTCCTTTCCACCACGGCCCCATAGCAAGGCCCACTGAGGCAAAGAAAAGGCAGGGGCAGGCAGGAATGGTTATCTCAGGTGGGCAGGGAACTACTACCAGCCCAGGTGAGCCGGAAGGTACGATGAACTCCTGTGGGTACGGGGGCACCGCTAGCCCAGCAAAGCCCATTCTCAGGTTCCTGCAGGACTGGTGTAGGAGGATGAACCCAAATGTATAAGGGTGTACGTGTTTCAGGGGTAGATGAGGCTGAGGAAAAGTGTTTAACAGATACAAGGATGCATGTAAACAAATAGTGGAATGGTTGCCACAGCAGACTGAAAAAAGGGAGGCAGAGTGGTCGGGGCCAGCAGGTGGTGGTAGTTAAGGAATTACACTTCCACATGGCCAACCACAGCTCGAGTCCTGGACCTGGTGGCTTGAAAATTATAGCAGGGATTTCTGCCTGTGGGCACTACCCAGGTAGCATAGTTGAAGTTTCTCTTCCCACTGCCATCATGTCTAAGTCAGAGTCTCCAAAAGAGCCGGAACAGCTGTGGAAGCTCCTTATCAGAGGGTTGAATTTTGAAACAACCGCTAAGAGCCTGAGGAGCCATTTTGGGCAGTGAGGAATGCTCACGGACTGTGTGGTAATGTGGCATCCAAATACCAAACACTCCTGGGGCTTTGGGTTTGTCACATGTGCCACTGTAGAGGAGGTAGATGCAGCCACGAACGCAAGACCACATGGAGTAAAGAGGGCTGTCTCAAGAGAAGATTCTCATAGATCAGGTGTCCATTTAGTTGTCAAAAAAGACCTTTGTTGCTGGCATTAAAAAAGACACTGAAGAACATCACCAAGAGATTATTTTGAACAGTGGGAAAATTGAAATGATTGAAATCATGACTGACCAAGGCAGTGGCAAGAAGAGGGGCTTTGCTTTTGTCACCTTTGATGATCATGACTCTGTGGATAAGACTGTCATTCAGAAATACCACACTGTGAATGGCCACAACTGTGAAGTAAGGAAAGCCCTGTCCACGCAAGAAATGGCTAGGGCTTCCTCCAGCCCAAGAGGTTGAAGTGGTTCTGGAAACTTCGGTGGTGGTCAAGGAGGTGGTTTCGCTGGTAATGACAACGTTGGTTGGGGTCATGGTGGCTTTGGTGGCAGCCATGGTGGTAGTGGATACAGTGGAAGTGGGGATGTCTATAATGGATTTGGTAATGAGGAGGTAGTGGAAGCTACAATGATTCTGGCCATTACAACTATCAGTCTTCCAATTTTGGACCCATGAAGGGAGGAAACTTTGGAGGCAGAAGCTCTGGTCCTTATGGTGGTGGAGGCCAATACTTTGCCAAACCACAAAATCAAGGTGGCTATGGTGGTTCCGGCAGTAGCAGTAGCTATGGCAGTGGCAGAAGGTTTTAATTAACTGCCAGGAAAAGCAAAGCTTAGCAAGAGAGGAGAGCCGGAGAGGTGACGGGGAAGCCACAGGTTACAACAGATGTGTGAACCCAGCCAAGCACAGTGGTGGCAGGGCTTAGCTGCTACAAAGAAGACATGCTTTAGACCATACTCATGTGTGTGCGCAAAACTACGAGGGCTGTATTTGTGACTAATTATGTAACCAGTTATTTTAGTTTCTGTTCTGTGGAAAGTGTAAAGCGTTCTAACAAAGGGTTTTAGTGAAGATTTTTTGCACCCATGCTGTTGATTGCTAAATGTAATAGTCTGATCATGACGCTGAATAAATATGTCTTAAAAAAGAGAGAGAGAGAGAGAGAAGAACAACAAAAGAAATAAAAGAAAATTATACCAGAGGAACAGGGCCAGACAGGCTAAAGACAAAAGCAAGACAACTTGGCTCTCAGCTAAAATTCAGTATTCCAGTCATTTCAAGCAAGCGGACCTTGTGAAAGTCATGATCTACTCCAAAAGGTTTTTTTTGTGTGTGTGAAAAATTAACTTTTGCCCAGTCATCCTCTTATCAGAAGAAAAATTTCCAGCTCAACCAAGATAAGATGAATTTTTCCACACTGAGAAATACCCAGGGTCTGCTTGCTCCATACTAAATTACAAATGGAGGTCAAGGCAGTGCAGCAGGTTCGGAGTCTACCATTTTTGTCAAGCTCAAACCTTTCACTGAATATTTTGAGGGGTAATGATGAGACCATTGGATTTGAAAATACTCTGGGCTTTTGTAGGGTTTTTTTGAGAGAGATTTTTGCTTTAGGGTACATGAGTTTACCAGAGAGACAGAGAGAAACCGAGCGACAGAAAGCAAGAAATCACCCCCTGGGGAGATGTCCACACCACAACCACTTCTCCTCCACTCTCCTCTCGGGATTTTGGGCATGCACACACATGTGCCCAGCATGATTTTTAAGTCACTGGGTCAGGGATCTGAACCATGGTCATCATTTGTGAGTTTAGTGCCTTAATCGCTATGCCACCTGCTGGCCCCTAAAGATATTCTTTCTTTTTTTTAGAATTATTTATTTAATTTTATTTATCATTATTATTATTTTTTTAATCTGCTACAAGGCACATGCACTTACCTGAGAGACATGCACAGAGAGAGAAAGAGAGAGTTAGAAAGCAAGCCACCAGGTCTGGGACTTGAATCACGACCAGTCATATAGGAGTCCAGTGCGTTTAATCACCACACCACCTGATGGCCCTAAAGATATTCTCACTGACCCATCACAGAGTGAACTAATGGGAGAACAGCACTTGATGGTGGAATACAAGCTTGATTTATTGTGACACGTGCCAGCCATGGAAACAGCACTGCACATGGTTTATGTCATCTTTTTACTGTAATTTCATGTACACGACATTAAAAGTATTGATGCCTGAGAAGTTTTGACTAAATAGTACCAGTCATCCTTTGAAATTATTTGGGTCTTTGGGTCATGGCTGCAAGACAGTTGAAAGCACTAAAGGGAGATGACCTTAAAGTTCCTCATTATATTAATTCTTTTTAGAGAGGTTTTTGCTATAGGGCATGTGTGCTCACCAGAGATACAGAAAGAGATAGAAAGCAAGAAATCACCCCCAAGGGGATGGCCACACTGCGATCTATTCTCCTCCACTCTCTTCTCACACATGCTTCTGGCATGAGTTTTAAGACTCCAGGTCCAGGACTCACATTGCAGTCGACCATGTGGGTGTCCAATGACACAGACATTTCACCATCTGCTGGTCCCTCCTGATTTATATTAAAACAATAGCCTTCTTTGTCTTTAGGAAAAAGGCTCTTTATAAATATTATAAAACTACCTGCAGGTCTCAATTCAACTTATTTTCTATGTAGTCCGTGAATTTAATTTTGAATAACCATTATCAGCATTTGAGTCTATAGACTTCACAGCATCTTTTGAAATAAGCATTTGTAATCAATTTCATTGACCACACTTCAAATTGAGTACAGTGTAAGATACAATTTATGTTGTTTCAGTATGGTTCATGAGTACTCAGAAGTAATAATATTTGCTGTATCAATGTTATTTTAGAATTACAGATGTTTGATTCTTTCAGGTTGAAAGTATAACTTCAAAGGTTTAAATCTTGGTCTTTTCCTTAAAGTAAAATAAAGTAGCCATCAGATGTAGATGAAACTGTTGTACTTCATAGATTTATTTTTTAATTATTTATTTATTTATCTACTCATTTATTTTTTAATTTGACCACAGAGAGACACAGAGAGAGAGAGAGAGGGAAAGTGAGAAAGCAAGCCTCCAGGTCCAGGACTCGAACTGTGGTCGGCTATGTGGGAGTGTCCAGCATCTTAACCACCACGCCACCTGCTAGCCCCCACTTCATAGATTTATGACAATATGTATTTAATATATTGCCAAGCAATACTGTTAAAGAAAAGTAAAACTCCTTTTCACTTGTTCTTCATTTATATATTACAAAAATGCTTAAGTTAAAAAAAATTATTAGAACATTCACATACATTCTGTGCATTCATAAACAAATTCCATAATGACTTACTTAAAAATAAATTTTCACTATAGTTGTTCTTTCATATAAGGTATTCTTTTTTTTTTTTTTCCTTTTGGAGAGGTTTTTGCTATAGGGCACTTGCGCTCACCAGACAGAGAGAGACAGAGAGATAGAAAGCCAGAAATCACCCCCCAGCAGGGATGGTCACGCCGCAATCCCTTCTCCTCCATTCTCTTCTCGGGATCTTGGGCACGCACGCACACGCGCCTGGCGTGAGTTTTAAGCCACCGGGTCCGGGACGCAAACCGCGGTTAACTACATGGGAGTCTAGCGACATAGCCATTACGCTAACTGCTGGTCCCCTCTTTTTTTAAAAAAAGAATTAATTTATTTAACTTTATTTATTCGTTTGTTTGTTTATTTAATTTTGACCAGAGATGGACAGAGCAAGAGTGAGAGAGAAAGTGAGAAAGCAAGCTGCCAGGTCTGGGACTTAAATGACAGTCAGTCATGTGGGAGTCCAACACCCTTAACCACCATGCCACCAGCTGGCCCATATAAGGTATTCTATATACTGAGCTATTAAAAAAATAATAAAAAGGGATCAGCAGTTGGCGTAATGGCTATGTCACTGGACTCCCATGTAGTCGACATGGTTTGAGTCCCGGACCCAGTGACTTAGACTCGCGCTGGGCCCGTGTGTGTGCGTGCTCAAGACCCCAAGAGGAGACTGGAGGAGAAGGGATTGCAGCATGGCCATCCCCCTGGGGGGTGATTCCTCGCTTTCTGTCTCTCTGTCTCTCTCTGTCTTTTTGGCGAGCGCACGCGCCCTATAGCAAAAAACTTTTAAAAAAACATGAAAATGAAGAAGGAGAAAGAAAAGAGAAAAGGAAAAAGAAAGGAAGAAAGGAGGAAAGAAAGAAAGAAAGAAAGAAAGAAAGAAAGAAGAAAGAAAGAAAGAAAGAGAAAAGGAAAGGAAAGAAAAGAAAAAGAAAGAAAAGGAAAGGAAAGAAAAGAAAAGAAAAAGAAAATCCCATGGGGCACGTGTGCAGGCATGCTCAAAATCCTGGGAGGAGAATGGAAGAGAAGGGGTTGAATTTCTTACTTTCCCTCTCTCTCTAGCTCATATTGGAGTCCTACAGAGGAAAAAAAAAAAAAAAAAGCTTAAAAATAAGAATATCTTTATTTTAAAAGTGAATAAATAAAAACAAGGAGTGCTTTATGGCCTGGTTAAGGCAGCAGGATCCCACATAACTGATGACGCTGTCTGGGTCCAGACCTGGTCACCTGGGCACAGGACAGGCCCCAAATCCTGAAAGGAGTAAGAGATGGAGGAGAAGGGATTGCTGCATCACCACTCCCCATCGGGGTGCTTTCTTCCCTCTCTGGTAAGTGCCTGTGCCCTCTGACAAAAATAAAAACAAATAACAAACATAAACCAAGATTATGCACATCTTGGCTGTAATACAGACAGGGCTTTGTGCTGTTTCAAACAGGAGTGATGGCTTTCTGGAATCCTGAAGAATGAGTCATTCTGGACAAGTGAGTTTTGTAGACAATTAAAGTCTCAATCTTACATAAGCACCGACATGTTTCATCCATTTTTATTTAAAATGTATCACACACTCTCCTACTTCCTGAAATAGATTAAACTGAATGTTATTAAACCTTTCTTAAAGACCAAAGCCCATTAATATGAACATCAATTATTATCCTGTATTGCAATATACTGATGCTCACTGGGCCTGTAACTATGTAAGACAGTTCTCCCTACA